ACATGGGCAAACAAGCATACAATGCCAGGACTGCGTTAAGTCGTCTAATAAACGGGTGTCGCTATGGCCTCTCATTCTTCCAAGACCCGCATCAGGTTCAAGAGGCCTACCACCTTGGCGAGGACTTGCACAATCTGGTCTCCCTACAACCACATAAGTAGCCTCGACAAAAAAAAATAAAAACAGCGCCAAATAAGAGGCTGAAAACGCCCGTCAGAGCTGCATGGGGAACGTAAACAAATTAAGTAGAGAATAGCGCGACTGCGATGTCATGGAAACCATGACCATCGATGATTTATCAAAGCAAACAATAGAAAAAAAAGAGAGTGAGTGAGATACGGAAGTCGACAAGTGCTTGAAATGTACTTCTTTGCTTGCGCCTCCACCACACATCGACGCGAAGAAATTTGCATTGAACGTCTGTTGAGAGGCCCTTGAACCACAAACAGGCCCTTGAAGTGGTTGCGTGTCGAGATAGGTGGGGTGAGGGGGGGCAGCACTTATTGCTACTCTACAGGTTGGGTGTACAAGACATGGGCCCCGCATGATTGGTTCACACGCGTTTAGTGACTAACACGAAGCCAGACGCCTGATTTATGAACTTAAAAGAAGCGCAGGAACTGAGGTCCTGACACTGCGGGTACGGAACACAAACTGACACCCAATTCCTGCGCCAAATCGCAACAAGACTTTCAGTTTCCGGAGTCGCTAGTAATGGATTACCGTGATATTTTGTGACTATCGCTTTTCCGCTGTTCAATTATTGGAACAAGAACCAATGGAATACGCAGCCTGGAAGTATATGCACAAGAGCAAAGGAACCACCCGCAAATCAATAGGCGGTTCGGCTGTCACGGGCACGACATCACAAATTGTTTGCCACTAATGTTGGTTTATTACACACTAGCCACCCACACAATTGACACAAAGGCTAGCTGTGAGAAAAATGTGAAATCACATGAGAAATTTGGATGGCATTTTAATGTGACGTGAAACCTCAGGGCGATTGAGTGAAGAATAATCCAGCTTACGCACCAGCGGCGCTAATTGGAATGCTTCGTTGGCCTTTCCACAACGACCAATTACGATTAACAAACCGGAAACACACTATTGGCGGAAAAATGAAAACAGCAGGGAAAGGCAAGACAGTGCGTCTTCGGAGCATTAAAGTGGCGATGCTTGTTAGGGCACAAGTCTGCTAACGATGCTCACAGGGAGATATGGCGTGTGTTTAAATAAAGAACAGGGCATTGTCGAATTCCAGCTGCCTGAATTGATTCGGTGATGCATACTAGAGAGCCAGGCGCAAAGAAACAGCGTGGATTGAAATGTTAGTAAATACTGAACGGTGGCAGGTCACCGCGACGATGAGGTCAAACACGAAACACACAAGAGGTCTCACTGTGTACGCGACACCTAATGATGCGATTCAGTTCTACCCCAAGTGGCCTGATCCTCGGTAAGTTAGTAACACGTCACGAGCAAGTCGTGAGCGTTAAGAGGACAAAGACACGTAGGTTGGTGGTGTAAGAAATCAACGTGACGGCAACACAATAAGAGGTCAGGCGGGTGGGTTTCTGGGAAGACAATCAGCTGCTGAGGCTTGGGGGGGGGAGGGGAAATTCCACTCGAAAATACAGGATGGTGAAACATTTGAAATGTGGCGTCAGGGCTACGTGGAGCCGCCTGGCAACGAAACCAAGCATTTCATGGCTGGTTTTGTGAAATGAGCAACAACTCCGCAACCTAGCGAAAATCCCCCCCCCCCCAAGATTGTTCCAGTAACATTTGCGTTTTCCAGAATTGAAGACAATTGTGAAGATGGAGCGGCTTCAAAGGTGCAGGTTTTAACAAGCTGTGGGGTTTTGGATGGACCCTCATCCACTTTTTTGAGGCAAATTAACTTCATTTCGACGTGTGTGGTGGGTAATCAGTTGGAAGATGGAAAAGGCAACGAGCGCGTAAAGAGGGATTCCAAGCGCGTTGACTGTGATTTGCCAAACTGGCTGGCCAAACACACGCTAGACTTTTAAGTGAGCAAAAACACCACGCCAGCCCTCAATAGTCAACAGAGAGGAACACCACGACTATCAGACGGCAAAGCACGTAGATTGTATGAAAAAAAAAACATAGCTGATTCACTTTTAAAAAAAAAGAACAGAATCGTCGTGTGCGAAAATGCCGTTATAATGACGTTTTTATTGCTCCAATCTCAACACACTATCAACATGGGATCACAACTAGGCAAAAAAGGATGATTTTAAAGGCATTCTTGTACCCAATTTTCACCGATCGCTCTCATTTGTCCGACGAGCCACGCCGAAAAGTGATACGACGTGGTACAACCAACCACGTAACAGGGTGAAAGAGGAGAAGAGAGACGATGAAGGAGAGAAAAGGGCAAAAAAGAGGGAAAGCATGACAACCTTAGAGCCAATACACGACGTGAGGGTGCAATACACGACGTGAGGGTGCACGACTAGCTTATGGGTTGTACCGAATGGTAAAAGCGGATACGTGGTATTTGACAGCCACACGAAATTAGCGGACGAAGATAAATAAACGCTAGGCAAAAAAACCCGTCCACGGTGAGGTGAAGGTTCTAAATACGAACGGTGCCGGGGTTATGGGGGGGGGGGCAAGAGGGCTTTAACCTAACCCAATAGACACTAGAGGTAGGCAAAGATAGCCGAACTTACTGTGCTGACAATTGGGTTGGCTTTAACTGCTTCGAGGGCCTTCATAAGGTTGTAATTACAGGCGTGTAGGGTGTCGTAGGCGTGCTGTGTGGTGGCCGCGAGGTTCGCCAGAACATGACCATTCTCAGCCGAGACGAGATCGTCGTCAGAGCCGCCGAAGGCAAAAATTGCAACCAGTGAGCGCACGGCGTCCAGGTACGTCTTCAGCGGCCTGTCGGGGGCGTCCTCGTCGTCGTCCTCGTCGTCGTCGCAGTTCCAGTCTTCGTCCTGGGCGCCGTTGAGAGCGTCGGGCAGCCAGACCAACTGCTCCCACTGCTTGGGTGGGTTCTCGTCAACCCGCTGGAGACACACGTGCTCACAGTGGCTCGAGTCGCCGGCGCTGCAACAGCATTTGGCCGTCATGGCGCGTTTCGCAGGAGGGGAGTGCGGACACGAGGTGGCGGTGTTTTGGGTCTCGCGGAGGCGTTTGAGGATGGAGTTGTGCTTGGCACAGCGGTGAGTCAGGGGTCGAAGTCCTCGACAAGGGGGCAGCCAAGTTGCTTGGTAAGCAGGACCGATCTGAAGGACACGAATAGACAATCTGGAAACTGTACCTGTTTGGAGATTTCGCGTGTACAGTAAAAAGAACCGAGATTGAACTCGAATGTAGACGAGCTATCAAGTACAATTCCCATTCGCACTTAAATAATACCATGTATTTCAAGGACAAGCAAAATTCTAAATGAAATCAGACAAGTTATCGCGGACATTCGAGAGGCAACTATGGCACTCAGGTTATAATTAAAAACGATTCTGGCAGCCTATTAACCTGCACCCATTCGAGATCGCCTTGTTCTTCCTGTCGCAAATTTGACCAAAATCAAACAAATCCAGAAATCAGTGTGAGAATTCGGAAGGGGCGCGGAATTGGAATTTGTCGACGTTTAAAATAAGGTGGGAATTCACACTTTTTGGGGGAAGGGGGGGAGGTTAAGTTGCCACCATCTCGCATGCAGGGCTTCACCCAACGCTGTAGAAGCAAATGAAAAACTCAAGGCTGATATAATCCCAGTTCGACTTTCAGACCTTCCGGGTTTTGGGGCCAGGCTCACATTTGACTAAAGCACCAAGTGGTCCAGACGGCTAAGCATTGAAAAACACGCAAAGAACGGCTCTGTTAACCAGAAAATGCAGCACCCTATTCGCTATGGCGAGACAAAAAAAAACTTAAGTTAGGTTATAAACTTGCACTGTTACATGTGACCTCGAGACAATTATGGTGCAACAGGAGTAAGGCGTAGTTGATGGCAGACTGCTACTGGGTTGTAAATTGTTTTGCGTGGTACTTAATTTGCCAAGCAGTGGAACAAGTTAGTCAATTTACGAAAAGTATGTTCGTGGTTACTGCAAAGTCAGTTTGGCGCAAAAAATCCGTACTTATCACCTCAACATTCGCACCTTGTGATGGCGGCTCTGTTGTGATCATGCTAGTTTTAACTGTTGAATTCGACTTAACACCGACAAAAGGTGGCAATTGTCACAGTAAGAAACTGTCGGCACCCACTAGGTGTTATCAGCTGGTAGACCAATTCATGGTGAACCGTATTTTGAGAACGTGAATTTCTCCATGTCATTGGGAAGGGTGATAAGTGACTCTAATGTGTTTGCGACCGGCGGAAAAACACGAAAGAAATGACTAGGTGGCCATACAAAAGACCTATCCACACAGCCACAAAATTCACTGTCTTGACGTGGTGTGACCTCCTGAGTCGACACTCCACAATAAACAAGTCCAATATTTCAAAACAACACGGCAAAACGAACACATATGAGCACATAAACATAACCACAGACGATTGCGATGAGGAATTCAAAAACAGGACCCCAAATCAAATGAACTAATGAGAACGAAAGTACTTGAGTGTGATTGATGTTACCTAAGCAATTTCGCTACACCGCTTACTGTGAACATTGCTTTAACTGGAAACATGTAGCACGATTAACAAGATACAGCTCCTGACTTCTGGTGTAACATTTAAAGAATCACATCCTAACTATGATATAACAAAAGTATGCATACATCAAACAGTGTCACGTGCAACTAAGAAGGGAGTTACTGTTCCAATGATTTATAAACGAATAAGGCAAACGGCAAGTAGAGATGATTTACCTTGATTTCTGCTCTTGTGGATAGGAGACGCTTCGTCTCTGGATTGTAGGCGTATACGTAGAAGAATGAATCCTCAACTTCGGGGTTAAATGTTTTAAGTGCAGTGCACAAATCCGGCATTTGGACAACAGAGCACTTTCCACGGAGGAGGCTTGAGTAGATTGTTGACTGATGCTCTGTTACAAATAACTCCCGGGCAAGAATTCGCGGATCACCGCTATCCGTATCTTCTCTATCTAATAACGCCTGTTTAGATACCTCCGGCACGTCCCCTGTGCGCCAGAAAGATTTGATAATCAGGTTGCACTTGTCTCTTCTTGACATCTTGATTTCATCGATTAGGCCGATTGCATAGTAATCCGATTCTGCTTCCTCATAGTAAACATAATCACCAGGTTTATATTCCACGGACCCGCACAGACAGGACTGCATTCTCTCGTCGCTATGATTCGACCTGTCTGGGCGACCCTTTCCACGATTGCTTCGGCGAAGTGGCACTTCCTTGACCGCAGCAGGCGGTTCAGGAGTGGATGAACCATTATTCTGATGGGAATCGCGAGAGTTTTCATCTGGAGTTAGTGCTGATTTGGCGGTATCTTCGTCACCAGCGTTTGAACCTAGATCCGAATTATTGATGGCGGCCATGGTCATCTAAAAAGATAAGCGATAATATTAACTAGGGTTATTGTAACGTCAACAGCCATAATAAACTACGCTTCTAAAGATCACATGCCAGCGATGCTTAGGCTCCTAAACTAAAAAAGACTTCATCCAAGCCGAGAAGCATGTTAGAACTTCAAATGCAACACATTCAGGTTTCAGCTACGCTAAAGAGCAGTACAACCACTGCCTCCAACAAAAAGACAATCACAAGCCAATGCAATACCATTAAAGCAATATGGTAGACAAATAATCACTGTGAAGAAATACAGACCATGCAGACCGTAATTCCGAAAAAAATTACAACCTTCGCTTAGATCTCAAACGAGATTACCAGTAAATGGAAAATGCAAAAAAAACAAGTAAAAAATATGATCCTAGTGGCAAAAAATCAAAGGAGTATTACAAGCAACTAAATAGTGATAAAGACGTGGACCTCGAAATTAGAGAAAAACAAAGGATAATCACTGCGATCAGGCCAATAAAAATCAGCTTACTGATCTTCACAAAACCCGCTTCTGCTGGCTGTTGTTTTACTTCGTCAATCAGATGATGATTTCTCCAAGTTAAATATTTTGAAGCCAAAATTTTATAATCCAGTATTAAACACTTCAGGTTTAAAAATACTTAAAAAAATAAAAGTATTTGGAAAAATTTGTGAATGATTTTGACTGAAATTGAATTTGCTTCGCGTCATAATAAATTGTTATGATAAGACGTTATTTATGCATTATATATAATTGTTAAACCTATTAGCAATAAATCTGTAACTAATTTATTAACTAAGTTTTCTATCAGGATATGAATGGGACTGATTTTTTACATTTATAATATTTTAACCCACTTTGATCGTTACGATTTCTCTTATTCGCTGTTCATCAGGAAAATTCAATTATTGAATAAAATTTTAATTGCTTTCGACTTCGTGAGTCGTTCTTTAGTAGTTTTTTGAGAAATCCTATCGAACTCTTCGAAGCAGTTTTTGTCCTTGTAAATTTAGGAGAATTTATATGAACTGGGTGAAATTCACTAGACTTTGACGCACATTGTCAAAAATGTATAACAAGTACTGTCTTAGAATCGAGCCACCTCCTTGCCACATATTATTCCTATATATGAACCTCAATATCCTCTTGCGGGCCCTAGAATGTGGTCTTGAAACACGCCACGGTCACTTAATTAACCCTGTCCCGAATCCGCTTTTCTGATACCCGAGAGTAAGAAAAAGACCAAGAAGGACGTGGATTCAGCTGTTTACTTCAGATCTCAACCACGTTGGTGTGGTTGTGTCATAAGTGGCATTTGTGTGTGTGAATTTAGTTACAGACGCGCTAACATCGACATCAAGGTACGAGGATAATCCAAAATAAATATTCATGCGAATGAGAGGGAGTTGAGTATCCGCGCGGCGGGCTACATGCAGCGAATAGGGGAATCCTGTTGCGAAGGATGGAGCGACCGGATTAAAGAGTATGTATAATCACGATTCACAACAATCATTTTCAATATTAAGTGGCCTTGTCGTGCACTTTGATGCTAAATAAAAGTATATCCTATGCCAATATGTTGTGTTTATTATTAAAGTGCCATGTAATACAATAGAGGAATCTAGAAAACTTATTATCTACTACGTTTGAGTTTGCATTGATTCTTATATGTTAAGTATTGAATGCGAAAATGATTTTACTGATAAAGTAATCAGTTATTAAGGCATTAATATAAGTAGTGTCAGGCTCAAGGGATAATATCAGAAATCGGTTTTATGTGGATATTTTATCCAGCGATTCATAATAAAAAAATATGTCCTGTCTTAAATATTTTCTTTTCATCTTTTTCATGTTAATTTAGTCTAGCAAGTTAATTTTGCTGCTTCATACTTTAATTGTGTGCGCTTTTTACTGATTAAGTTAAACTCAAACTAGGCATGGCCGAGCCCATTCCCTTGTCCCGAACCGATTCTCGTTTTTTCTCAAAAAGCCCGAAAGTGTTTTAGAACAAAAAATTCAGATTTGTGGAATGAAACAGTGAAATTTGGACTAATTACTCTGGTTTGATATAGATTAGCCATGATAACCGGTTTTATTTTGGAGATGTAAAATCGTAGATGACAAATTTTGGTAATCAATATTTCTCCTAGAGCTGACTTTGGTTTTCTTGGAAACTTTGCTTTATGCGCCTTCTATATAGGAATTTTTCAAGACAAACGTGTTGCTGAATGTTTGCAGAAGCGTAAATAAACAGGAACAGGGCTACAAGTTTTGTACAAAGTGGTTAGCTGGATAATCCAAGTATGAGGAGGGGGTGAGATTTAAAGTACAGCCTGATGTGCTAGCGAAAGTCTTGATGGAGGGGTGGAGGGGTGGAAAGACACCGTGGTTGGCTACCATTAGCTGAAGTGCTCGAAGATGTACATTTGATCTACCACAAAATTGGCAGTTTTAGGTCTTTAAATCCACAAGAGTCACGGAATCGCCAGTATGCTGGGTTGAATTCGTATGAAGGACCTTGGTCGGTGGCAGGCACTGACTTAGGTTTGTACCTGAAATGCAAGATTAGTAGGGATTTCCATAAATCGAAAAGCAACTTGAAGGCAAACCATCAACTTCATCCTACTTTTAAAAAAAACTTTTGACTTGAACTCAATGGCTGTTCAGACTGGCCTTTAACTTCTTATTTTTGAAGTATGGCTACAACCGTCCCTATCCCTATAGTCTAAAAAGCCAAAGTACCCCAACTCAGGCAATCTATGCAAGATAGAATTATAACATCGATGGCAGATCCATGTGCTTATCGTTGAAAGCGGGGTTAGAACCGGCAGCCAGTTCTAACGGAGCCCGATGGAAGTGCTATGGGTGAAATGTTGATTGCAGATGGGTGTTGTTTTGAGAGAATGCTATGCTACTTTACTCCCAGACTTCAAAACATGCCACATGATGTTTACTGTGGCATTCAAATCTTCATTTGTCGGTTGGACCTAGAACGAGAATATTTTGCAACACAAAAACCGTAACCGTATCAGGTTAAAATAACCTACGTGAACCAGTGCGGCTTCCAGATGCTGCTCGAACTTCTATCCCTAGAGTTCTCTGTGGTCTTGTGCATCTTCAGTCGATGTCTTTGTTCATCTTCAAGTCGGGTTTTCTCAATCTCGGCCTCTTCGATGCGACCGAGCTCAAGAAATCGCTGATCGGGTCGCAACCGCGAGTCTGTGATTGGGAGACGCCCGGAGGAGACGGCGTCGGCCACGGGGGGCTCATTCAGCTCGATCGCGAACTTCGTGAAGCCGTAGTAATGCGCAGAATTAGGTGGGAGGGGATCTGTGCAAAAAAGTCAACAAGATATGCAAAGCGAGAGGAAATACCTCCACACAACCACACGAGATTTCAACTTGAAAGCCATTTCTACTTGCAAACTCCAGGACAAAGAAAGGTCCCAGCCACTTACTTGCCCGCCATATGCACCGGTTTTCGCCATTTTCATCCCTCGAAACGAGGATCTTATCCCAGTGGCCATACAGCAATCGTGGGTCTTCCGAAGAACCCTTGGGGGGATTAACTGTGCCACAGACGTACCTGCGGACGTCGGGCCGTTTACTGTCGTGCTACAACGAAGAAGCGCAGTCAGGTTACCCTTTCAGAATTACGTCCGGAGCATCAACTACACCGGGGGAGCAATAAGACCAGAACAAAATCACTAGTGAACGGTAGCAAAAGTTGTGCGGTTTCAATTAGACGGAAATTGTCTTATTTCCCGTGTCAATAGCTCATGCACAAAAAAACAGTAGCCAAGTACTTGAGGTTCCACGAATTATGGATTAAGTTATTCTCACCTGGTTGAAATGAACGGTGGACGAAGCGCCATTGGAACACTTAATGGTCAAGTCCCCAGTGTGGTCAATAGACAGGGTTGTGGGGGAAAATACATTGGTAATGGAGGTCGTTACTTTGTTCCAGGTGTAGGTCTCTTGCCACCTACAAAGCAAGGTCATTAGGACGTGAAGGTGGAGATTTACCGTGGGAAGTACAGCTGGCAGCATCCTACGGGCACAATTTCCAGTGACTTTCCCCAGAACTTGCTCTTCATGTTAAATTCCTGGTAGAGGCTCCATAACTTTGACTCGCAATGACTTGCAGTCACCGGTGGATTGTGGCTAACCTGCGTGGGAGGGGAGGGGAGGGGAGGGGGTGGAGAGTAAATACGCGTCAGTCACGGTATTCGGGTGTGGCGGCAACTTCTTTTTCCGTCTTTACCCAATCAAGTTTATTGACAACGCGCACATCGAAATTGACCAATGCTGAGGTAAGTTAGTCACCTGTCCGTGTACCACTAAACATTCACATTAATTTTCGTGGAACATTTGCCAATGGGCTTCTACTTAACCAAATAAATTATCCAGGCACTTTCCAGGTACTCCTGTGCCCCCATTTATATCTCAATTGCATTGCAATTTACGCGATTTACATCCAACAAGTACTCTATGCATTTGTTATTCCATCCCTAAAGACTGTTTCCACGATTACTAGGATAGGTTTACAAGCTAACATGGTTCTTCTGACCCAATTTACTTGAATACCTTCCCAGCCACCATCACATTACTACCGGCGCCATATATTTTCCTCCTCAGTAATGCCCTTTTTCACAAACTAATTGAGACAGGATACAAATTACCACGAAAAGTGTTCTCATCTCTAATTCACTCTCAACAAAATCCACTCTAAATTGATGTGCTTTTGTGGACTCCTCAACCGAAGATTGATGGACAGAATGCGCACCCACGTAAATCCGCAACTTATGCAGGGATGGAATAATCACTCCCCGCAACACCAGTGGTTGGTCTCACGGAAATTGGGTGTGCATAACATGGCATGCCTAGATTTTAATACGCAAATGGGCTTCGTCGCTGCCTGACCACAAGGCGCTACACTGGGACAGCTTACTTGTTCGCCGAGAAAGCGCCACTGCCTCTCCGGTCGCACGCATTCAAAGGTCTCGCCGAGGAGTGGAGTGAACGGCATTGTGGCAGTTCGACTTGCGGTTCTCGCGTAAGCCGAGATTGCAAATGTTGTAACATAGAGCTAAAGCAGGAAAAACCATTGAACCCGCGCCTTTGCCCCAAATATGGAAACATTTTTTACGAATCAGTTTGTGGGGTGGAGGAATGGCGAGGAGAGAGTCTCCTCTGCTGAAAATACATGAGCTTCAAAATTCACACTTGTAGACTTGATGCGCTGCAAGCTATTGGCTAACTTGATGTGCTGCAAGCTATTAGCTAACACTTGATGCACTGCACACGCTATTGGCTAGCACTGAGGGCGTAGAGGCCAATCAAACATCTGCAATCTTATCTGCCACTTTTGCATTAAAATTAGGGAGAGAATCGACTGACTCACCATCCTTTTGGTTTGTTCCTCCATTTCTGATGCAGCATCTAGGAGATGACTGTACTCCAGTTCCTCGCATTGGTTCTACAGAAAGTGCAAGTACCATTTCAATCCACAATATCACATCCAATTGACACATACAATCGCCTTAAGGCTGACATGCTTATTAGTTTGATCCGTTCAGAACAGAAATGAGGATCAATGAATGAACCCTTTTAGGGGTGAGTGGTGTTGACTTGTCAGTTCAAAGTGCAGAAATGCATCTACCGCGTCGATTCCCCAACAAGACTCAACGCCATACTGCTCTAGTCTACATCTCACCAAATTGCTTCTACAAGTGGTTGTACATTTACAGGTAAAAAATCATAAAGGAGAAGCAATTGCGCAGAATTAAACTCAAATTACGTTCGATATTTGTGTTTTTTTGAGTGCCATTGCACTAGATTCTTTGTAGAATTTCTTCGGTGATGGAGTTAACACGGGATTATTGTAATGCTATTTTTGTGCATCTACGTGTGCATTCAAGCTTAATTATTTAACAAATCTAAAATTATACCATCAAGAGGGGGTGCTAAACTATGAATCTATCCCCTTCAAAGTAAAATGGGTGGAATCAAGCGGGGACATGAAGTGCTTACTTGGAGAGTACTCAGAGGTTCATTGAGGACTACTGGTAGTTTGAGTTTCGTCAAGTCGCGCCCAATATTGCTAGAAAAAAAAGGAGTAAAGTGCCTCAAGTAATTTAAAAAAAACACAAATGTGGGTGTTTTAATCTTAAGGAACTTATGGCTTATGTTTTGCTTATCTTTTAAAAAAATCGCGTTTTATTCAAAGCTGCATTGGATTATCACCAATTAAGTGCTTTAATCAGTGGTTTCCTTTAAATATTAAGCAGGCTTCATGTCAATTTTGTATTTGTAAATTTGGTTTAGGAATTAGAGACAAAATTAGCCAGAACTCCGGTCTCATATAAAATGATAGTTGGCGAGGCGAGAATTGCCAAAGAGCAGCCTGAGATCGGATCTCGAAGTTGGCGCTATTATCTGGTTCGTTTTCAAATCGACGACAATTGAAACACGCGACCCTCCTTCGCCTGTTTCGTTGTCGATAGCAACTGTGCTTACCAAATTCCTGTTTGAGTGCTGGTTATTAGTAGTATAGGCTCGTCAGCTCACCTGCGAAGAATGGCCAACAAACTGAACGAGGGGTGTGTGGGTTGGCGTGCGGGCAGAGAGATGCGTCTTCCAGCCACAGGCTCGGGATTTGCTAGCACCACACCCTTCATATCCGGCACATTCATATTCGATTCACCTGAGTAAACAGCAGTGGGAAAGACACATGAAACCATGTCAAGATTAGCTTATTCAATGTGCTTACCTGGTCCTTGAAAACGAAATTGGGCTTTAATGAGGATGCAAATGGGCTGCGAAATCAGTCGTACATTACTGGCTACCATGCTGAATAATTTAAGACAAACTATTCGCCCTAATTGTTATGCCTGTAGAGAATTAATATTCTTTAAACAAACAGCGTCTGTGTTTAAATAAACAAACTAGAATGATAATCAACAAACAAGGAATTATGTCTCCGCAGATAAACATCCTTAAACGCCACGAGTATTTGTTGAGTCAGTGGGACCTGAAAAGTTTGCAGTCTACACTAACAGAATAATTACTGTGCTTAATGCTCGTTAATTTCAATGAACAACAGTTAGTTATTACTGCTGCCGTAATGCGAGAGCTTTGTATTCGTCTGATCCACCTTTAAGCAACTGCTTATGGTGAATTTCAGGAATTTACAACAAGGAGGCTTTGTGCAATAGATGAGATAAAATACGACAAAAGAGATCAAATGGTTGTTAAAAAGTTCCAAATCAATGTAAACCTACTCAATATCGGCATAGGTTCACAAGGCGAGTCATCTGAACCAGTTTCATCGCAATCCTATCATACGGGGGAAAAATACTCTGGTTAGTGTACTCAATCCGGTTATGCATATTTTCGTAACCAATCGATGATCTTGTCATCCAAGTCAAAAATGTTGATCTACGTCTTTCCTAAAATTCATTCCGGTTTTTGAAAGGCCAGATTTTAAAGATGACGAAAATTTAGTTCACCTTAGAAAGCCAATTCCTCTCTTATTTTAGCCCTTTTCAAGTTAAGCTTTTGTGCCTCACTGAGAGGTAAGCGTTGAGCCCCGGAGATATGCCAATTTTTGCGTCAATAGCACATAACCAGTTTAAACCAAAGATTTGCTGCATAAGCTAACACAGAATCAAGTACGTTTTCTTCCAAATTTACGAGGACCTTTCTTAGTACACTCATGACATATGGCGTTTATTATGGCGTTAAATAAGAAGCCTCAGTCAGTGTATACAAAAACTTACACCCACTTCAGATCCTGAGTCAATCATGGAGCGGTGTTTTACCTGAAATTTGAAATACGGATCACGTCAGGTTAGATGTAAATTTGACTAGGTGGCAGCTTCTTATGAAAGCACATGTAGGGATCGGTGAATGTTCCAATCTGGACCCTACTACTACGAAGTTGAAGCAATGCGGTAGTGCTTGGGCCTTTTATGCCAATCAAATAGATCAGGTAATCATATCATTATGCGATGTTGCTTATTTTGGAGTACGAAACAGGTCTCTCTAGCTGCCTTGTGCTCTGGTAGACGATTTGCTCCAATGGACAACGAGGAATAACAAACTCTAAGAGAACGGGTAGTGATACAGTTGTGTGTAGTCTATCAGTGCTTGGTGATGTCGTCGGGGTCACCAATTTGTTGAAGACCTTTTACCGCGAGGCTAACCCAGAAAGACCATAAGTCCAGAGATGGTAGGCACGACCGTTTAGTAGACCGCTCAACCAAGTTGTGTCGTTTTACAGTTGAGTGGACATGTAAATATGAACAGGCGTTTGTGAGGTCACATGAC